ACTAATAACAAGTTCTGAATAGTAATAAAAACGATCAAATTATTATTATTTTTTAAATATTTCTACTTTGAAACGTGTTGTTTGTTTTGACCTCATCTGAAAATGGATGTTCTACTTTGAAGAAGTTAACATTTTGGTACAAAACTGTCCATACATTTATGTTGAGTCTCTAAACTAGTTGCTGAATTGATTTTTTGCCCATGAATTTACGTACATTTTACAGTGAATTTAGTCATCTAACACAGCGGTTCCCAAAGTGGGGATTGCAAGATGATTACAAAATAAAAATTGTAAATAAAATTAAAAAAAACTATTTTTGAAAACGTGGCAAAATTATTATTAATAATAACGTTTGCATAGACATTTTTCAGGGACGGACTAGCCATCTGTATATTTTCCCTGCAGCGAGGCTCCCCCCGTTGACAATCCACTAGCGCAGTGTTTCTCAAACTTTTTCATACCAAGGACCACTTAACCAATAAAAAATACTCAGGTTTTACACCTCTTATGAAATGTAGATTACATTTATTACGGAGTTTATGTCCGAGACAACAGACTACAGAGAGATATGCAAAATACACCGCATGTAAACTGCAAAAATAAAAAAACGTTTATGCAGCCCCAACAACAGCCTCTGATCATCAACAGACTTCATCGGATGCATATATAATAATCTCTATTTAACTCCTAACATCTAAATCTACTTTCAGCATGGATAAATGTTCATCAAATACATCCATTGTTTGTTTTATATACTTCTTGATATCCTAAAAAACACATCATTTTTCTAGAACAGATTACAAATCGCCTGAAAATGGTACCAACAAGTGGCAACATGTTTGACGAAGGTGTTGCGCTGGTCTATATCATGCAATCAAAAGAAACTTAAGCTCGCTCCATTGTGGAGATATTCCCGCGAGAGTGCGGAAAACTTCACTAGCACCCCCCCCCCGTTGACAGGGGTCGCCAGTCTTTGGCACCGTTATTTTGGGGGTCGCGGGCTGAAAAGTTTGGGAACCCCAAATAAAAATACTAAATATTGCAGGTCTCCCTTGAAAAAGAGATCGTTGATCTCAATGAGATCATTGATCTCAATGGGATTTTACCTGGATAAATAAAGGTTTTGAATTGAATTGAATTTAAATATTTGCTGCTTTTATATGTTTTCCATCACTACAAACCGGAATGAATAAAAACTGCAAAAATAAGTGTTGTTTTTCAACTGCTCCAAACTTAATCTGCTTTATCCATTATTACAAAAACCTGCCGTTGTAAGATTCATAAAGCATCATCAGTATTAGAATTTTCTGATGGTAAAAGCATCACGGTTTTAGTGTTTTAGTGTAAACAACAAAAATCCACTTAATTAACTTAAGTCAGGCCTGTCTTAAGGAGTTGATGAGTTTAGCGACTGCATCGGTGCTAATACCTGCTGCAGACTGACGCAGTGACCTGGAATTAACCTCTCACTCGTCTCAAACCTGTTGTATAACCTCACTTTACCCCAGTCTTTAAGAAATCACATGTTAAATAACCATAACCATAAGTTCCACATATACCAGCACTCTTTGAACAGATAGATATTTACTTTCTCATGTATTTGTTAGTATTGTTTAAAACTTTTAATTATACAACTTTAGTTACTTTCAGATTATTAGAACTAAATATGATCAACAACTTAATATTTTATTATTGATTAAATAACCCAGCAGTTATTGCAATGAGCTGTATATTGAGTACTTGTAATGCTGTACTAAATATATTTAATGCAAACATGATCTAGTATGAGTGTTTTTAAGTATTTCTACACTATTGTATTGATACTTTCATTTAGCCAAAGATCTGAGCACTTCTTCAACCGGTTTGCTCATTATCTCACAGACATTGCTACTTTATTTAAATATGAATGTAGTTTGAATCCTCTGATTGCAGGTGTGGCAGTGTACCTGCAGAATGAGGATGAAGAAGTGGCAGTGTACCTGCAGAATGAGGATGAAGAAGTGGCAGTGTACCTGCAGAATGAGGATGAAGAAGTGGCAGTGTACCTGGAGAATGAGGATGAAGAAGTGGCAGTGTACCTGCAGAATGAGAATGAAGAAGTCCACAGGTTTCCCTCTCTGGTAAAGGAAGTGCTGCGTTGAGCGTTTGTCGTTTTCGTTGAACTTGAGTTCCAGGATGACGTCGGGGTGGCTGAGGATCCTCAGTAACACTTTGTCTTTGATCTGGAACGGGCTGAACAGGCTGACCTCTGGAGGGAATCAGAACAAAGCAAAGATATCAACGCTTCGTATGAGTTCTGTGTTACAGAAAGCAGAATGTTTTTACTTCTATATGCACAAAGACTGACCCTTCACGGCTAAATGAAGGGTAAAAAAAACTTTAATTCTGTGGGCTGAAACTCAAAATCTATTTTTACTATCCAAATGTCAACATTGGTTGAAAATATCCTTATAACATTTAAAACAATAACCATAAAACAAAAACGTTTTTAAAACAGCATTTCCCTTTTTTCCAACAGGTCCTACCTGTTTTAACATTTCTATTATGACATCCTTCATGGAGGATAACAGAATGTAGGAAAAGACATTTAGGAGCAGAGGCAGACCATGGGGTGAATATACAAATTATTTTTCACCTTGACGTATCATAGATATCTTTAGTTTATGTTTTATTTTAGGTGTACTTTTTCAATTATCGTCCTAAAATGATTTAACCATGTAAAGCACTTTGTTTTGTATAAATGAAGAGAATTATTATTATAAAAAGGTGTCAGCTGTTACTCTCCTTTATGTATTTTCTGAACTTTTGTAGTAACTGTTCAGGAACTAAATATTGTGCTTATATATTATTAACACACTGTATGCTGTTCAGACAGACTTGACATCAAGGTTACTGGGTCTCTGAGTCCCCCAAGAGAGCAGGTGTTAATCTCTGTGAAGAATCAGTCAGCTGAACGACAGTAAAACAAATCAGTGGCTGAGAGATTAGCGGCGCTCACCTGTAGCCAGGAAACGATGAGCCGCCAGCATGAGCTGAGGAGAGATCTTCACTTTGCTGTCGCCCTCCTGCTTGAAGGCCGAGAAGTCGGGCTTGTTTTTATTGGGGTCCACCTTTTTCCTGTTTCTGTTGTCAGCTGCAGAACAGAGTGCAGGTTAGCATCAAACCAGAAGTGGAAAAATCCGTAAAACAGTGTACAGAGTAATATTAGACCGTATAAATACAGAATGTAGACTATGAAGTCAAGAATATGAGCGCTAGCAAGAGTCTGTATGAACACGCTTGAATAAATACAACTTCCTTAGTCATGTAATTACAATACAAAGTGGACAACAAAGATATAAAATATCAATTTCACATCTGAAGGTAACATAACAAGTCTCAACTGGTGTTTTTGCAATGTTGTGATATGAATACTACTGAAATAAATAACTAGTCAATAACTAGTCCTTCACTACTTTAAGGCAAACCAAGAGATACAACATGTTCATTGCGTAAGCTTAAGAGATGCATGGTAGGTGGATTCTATAACGCTTGACTTGTCCCATGTCAGCACAGCCCTCCACTTTAAAATATAATACACTGTGTATTGGATTGTTTATTGTATATATATATACACTGTGTATAACACTCATGTTTTAGTTTTTAGCTGTTAAGGTTATTTGTAGGGATGTCCCGATCACCTATTTTTGCTCCCGATCCGATTCCGATCATTTGATTTTGACAATTTGCCGATACCGATTTTTCCCGATCCGATCTTTATACAATGCATTAAGAGAAAAAACTGAATAAAAGCATTCAAGTTGTCCCTTAAGGTTATTTTATTTTATTTAAATTGGATATTCTATCCAACATGGATATAGCTTCTTTTTTTCACAGCAGCATTGGATCAGTTCAGTTGTGCAGCATTGGATCAAAACAAAATAAAGCGTATCAGTACTCGTTAGCTTACTGCTACAATTAGACACTGCGCCCACTCTGTTGCCAGATTTGAGAGAAATAAGCAACCAGGTCTATGAACACAAGCCCCAAAGAAGCAACACATACATGATGTTGTGTAATTTGAAACCAAAACTAAGGCCTCAGGATGACTTTAAGACTTGAACATGGTCATTTTTGTTTTGTAACATTGAATACAACATTTAAAAAAAGTATTTAAAAAAAAATAATAATAAATCCCGATCCCCGATTTTTGGAAAATCCCGTGATCGGCTCCGATCCCCGATCACGTGATCGGATCGGGACATCTCTAGTTATTTGTATACTAGTTACATTTAAATCTGGTGTAAATGCTTGTCTTTGGCATCCTTATTTAATGCTACATTTTTTCTTAAAAATACTCATTTTTTTCTTATCCTTGTATATATATATATATATTTTTTTTTTTTTTGTACCTACTTTGCAACTTATTTTTTAGATTGTTTATGTTCGCACCACCAGATACCAAAGCAAATTCCTTGTATGTGTAAACGTACCTGATTCTTTGACTGATCCACGGTAGCCATCTCCACTGTTTCTATTCTTTATGCTAAGCTTAAGCTAAGCCTTTAGTTACCTTTGAACTGAACCAGGCCAGTAGTATCATCGATTAGTATGCTAAGCTAAGCTAAAGGCAACTTATCAAGAATCTTCTTCGTACCTTAAAGACATTTATAAATAAAACATGAATGAATGTCTCATGAAAGTTGTTTTTTTAAATCACCTGTAAGAGCCACTTAAGAACGAATGACTTCCTTCGAGGGTTTCTTTTGCATGATGTCGACAACATATCAGTGTGTTTGTCTTTCAATGGTGTGTGTGTGTGTGTGAAGTGTGTATCTGTGTCACAGGCAGCATACGCTGACTCACTGTAAAGGTCAGACTCATCCAGGATCTCTGACTTGATGATCTCTTCGATGACGTCCTCCAGCGTCACCAATCCCAGCACCTCGTAGAACGGATCTCCCTCTCCCTCGTTGTTCACTTTCTGGACAATGGCCAGGTGGGATTTGCCTGGAGATAGAGATCACATAAAGGTTACTACCAGGATGTACAAGTGCACCTCGAAAGTGACCATAAAACATTTTGCATTCCCACAAACTGGGCTGTTAAGTAGGCAGGAAAGTAGGGCAGCATCAAACAGGAAGTTGAGATTGTCACTGCTGCAGCTGTCTCCTAAACTTCAGCTAGAGGCTTTCAAACACATTTAGCTACATACAAATATCCTTTCTTGTTTTTCTATTTTAGATCTGCTGTTCGATCTGTCAGTGGATTTATCCTGCCGACTGCTGCTGGGAGGACAGATTGATGCCTTAATATAGCCCAGACTGGACTAAGAGCTTTGCAGAGAAAAAGAGCTGGAAGAACTGCCAAAAAAAAGATAAAGAGAAGGGAGAGTGGAAGGGAAGATGGAAAAAAAAGACGGATTAATACTCTCCTCATTAAAAAAACCTTATAGACCGTTTTGCCTGCTCATGTTGGCTAACTGCATGCAGGTCTACAGTGTGGCAACAAACAAACTGACATCACTGGGTGGCTGCCAATGACAGCTGAGTAAAGGGACTTTATCTGGAGAGAGGCTGCCAGGTCAGAAAGCTGCCACAGTTGCTCTGCATCAAGACAGAGCAGCATCTATTCCCCTCACTGCTGCGCCTGCATACATGTGAAATGTGAAAGACGCCAAAAATGTATCTGTCAAAGGGTTTCAGGCTTAAAGCGTTAGTTAATGACTGAAAATTGTATTTATCAAATATAAAAAGGCAGTGAGATATTTGTTAAGCTTATTTTTTGTCTATTTTTTGTCTTTTCCAATAGGAAAGACGTGAGTAGATAGAAGGGGCCGCAGCTTGGATTCAAACAGGGGCCACTGCAGTGAGGACTCATACTTTACCACATGGGGAGGGCTGCTACACCCAGCTAAGACATCACATTAGTAATCAATATTCATGGGAGAAATATCTAGAACCACCTTGACTACACACACATACAAATAATAAAAGCAGTAAGAACACTAGTGTATTTGATATCAGAACTATGCTTTGAATGGCATTGTTTAATAGTAACTAAGACATGAAGATAATATCAAAAAATCCCTATGTTGTGCACAAGCCCAACCGTCACTGACAGATAGTTGACTAATAACTTCCTGAGACACAGCATTAAGGCTGAACGATTAATCGGTTTTAAATCGAAATCGCGATTTGAAAAAAGCCTGCGATTTTTTTTACAATTTTCCTTTTTGTTTTTCTTGTGTGTTCCACACCAATCAGAAGTGTGCCAGCCATTGTTAACCAATCAGAAGTGGCCCATGATAGAAGGTGATAGGCAGATTGATCCAATCACCTGCCAAGTATTTTTGAAAGTGCCTGCCCTTTCCAATTGGAGCTTTCCTAGATGGTTTCGTGAAAAAAACCATCTGAGTCAGGTTAGTAATGCTCCATCACATTTTTTACATCTATTACATGGGTGAATCTTAAAGAGCACCTTGCAGGTTTTTTTTTTTTTTATTACATGTATGCTTAACCTTGCCTGAAAATTACAATTAAAAAAGTTAATGCAGGATTTGATATGTTTTACAAGACATAAGGGCAGGAATTCAGAGGGAAAGGAGCCGTTTTGAGCTCTGCTACTAAAAACTGCTTTTTTTTAACGTCAAACGCGTCATAGTACGTCACATGGGGGAGCAACTTTCTCGGACTCCTTCTCTGCCCAATCCGCGGTAGTAGTTTGTAGTTTGAGCGGTTGTGATTTAGTGAGCTGGTATTTTTTCGGTAATTTTACATTGCATTTCACCATTTTTAATCATGGTGAGCTGGAGTTTGTGCAGGTTGCAAAAACTCGATCCTGTCAGGGTATCGAGTCCACAGTTTCCCTCACGGGAAAAGGACCGGAGCTAGCTTTCGTTCCTGGTCGCGTTGTGCGAGGTGCATCCACCTCCCTGCAGCACATAATCTCCACAGCTGAGGCCTATCAAACACATTTTTTATCAGGATACCGTATTACATCTCTCTCGCTCCTCTCTCTCTCCCCTCCGGTAAACAGCACCGTAGTGTGGAGTTGCATTAGGTAACGCGAGATACGGCTGATACTTGCGCATTAGTTTCTGTTATGGATCAGTATCAACAGTCCTGCCAGTAACGTTACTATATTATCAATACTACTTTAGTTATAGCCTGATATATGATAGCTAACTTTACAATGTTGTGATGTGACCGATGTTAGCTAACATTAAATGTCTGTAGCTAACTCCGGTCACTCACCAAGACAGCTGCTCTGTTCTCCACTGGTTCTCCACACACCACAGCTTCATTTCTCGGCGATGGCCGTTATTTCTTCTAATCCTTGGCTGCTCCTGGTCTCTTGGATGCCTAGCAGGCTCATAATTATACTCATATGCATTTGAATATATATTTTCAACCTCTTCTTTGTGAAAACTAGCAGAGTGAACCATGTTTATTAATACGTTAGACCGGCCGCTCTCCCCCATGTTACGTCACACACGGGAGGTCACGTGGGGAGACTTTTTTTATGCGGAAGTAAAAATGTCTTGTAAAAACGATGCCAGATGTCACTGTAGAGTATATTTCTGTATATTTTTTTGAAAATCTAGTGTATACATCATTTTCCTACACATTTATTCACTGGTGTGTCTAACCTGCAAGTTGCTCTTTAAACTGAAGCTTGACTTTAAAGCAACCCAACAGAAGTTTCATGTAAGTTTAGTTATTTCACTCGTAGCTCGGGCTGCGGGGGTGCTAGAGACGGGAGCACGTTGATGCGACCTTCCTAGCCGGAGATATGGCCGCATTTTACAATAAACTTCCGTTGGGTCGCTTAAAAACAAATATCGCAAATCGAATCGCAATATTTGTCAGAAAAAACGCAATTAGATTTTTCCCAAAATCGTTTAGCCCTACACAGCATCAACAAAGGTTTGTTCAAAATACTAACATATTATTTATACTTAATATTACATTCAATTAAGTATTTAGCTGTTCCTCCAAGTGCATAGCATGAGGACTTTCTGTACACAAAAAATACCTGGTGTAAACTACTGGCTAATTAGCAAGAGCATGAGACATACTGAACGCCCTCAAATGCATCACAGCTCTTACGTCTAATTGTTGTCTCTCACATTCTTTCTAAATGCTGCTGCATATGAGATGTTCTCTTTGTCTGACTGAGTTTGCATGTGTTTTCATGATGTGGTTCTGATGTGCTGAGCCCTCAGGGACACCGTACGACTCAGCACAAAGCAATAGCCTCTGACATCTTCATGAGCACACTGACCTGATGCAAACTGTGTCCCCCCCCACAGGAAGGTCAGAGGCCACAGCAGCAGGCTCACATTGTGACTTCAGGGCACTTCAGCAGGACTAATATTAGCTGCCATGTGTCCTTCAACCTTGAAGTTAAAGTACTTGTTTTGTGACGGATATTTTCAGCCAATTATCCAGCTTATAATACTACAAGTGAGGATTTCATATGTTTCCTTATAAGCAATGAAAATGTTTTGAAGGACACTGTTCCCTCTTCTCTTTTATTCATGGTACAATTAATTGGAATATCAACCAGAAAATACTGTAATTGGCAGAGAATCCTATTGTAAAAAAAGGATAAATGTTACAGATCACATGACTTTCAAAAGAGAGTTTATTTAAGAGCTATTTTGAGGATTTATATCCCACCATCTTTCATCAAATCATCTATTTTCTAAGAATTTAAAACAAGAGGGAAACAATCATATTACTTTGGGTATACTATCTTTGCAGTCATTATTAACAAAACATATTTGAGATGTGGAAATAGAAGCTGTCAACAACACCTGAGGCAAGATGTATAAATGATGCTCATGTACAAAAAACGAAAGTGCTAATAAATAGCCACTATTCATGCTGGTTTCGCATTATGACAGCTGATAATGCAGTTATTCTTTTGCACTTCTTTTCAAATGAAAGGCTGGAAAGATTACAGAAGTACTGTAAAGCAAATGAGTGCACTAAGGGTGTGTCAACATCAATATATAGGTCTAAAAATGAGGCTTGTGCATGTACGCAGATCAACAATGACTTCTTACACAGAATACAAGCGAATGCACAGCTTTATAAATGATGACTGATTCCAAAAAGAATTATCAAGTGTGTATTTGCAGTGTTGGCTGCTTTACGAATGTGAAGAAAAGCATTTGATATCTTAAAATGTAAACATCATTATCATCATCATCATCATCATCATCACATAAGCTTCAGTTCTCTGCTGGTGCTTCATTGTCACGATACCAGCTTTGTGTTCAAGGTTTAAATATCAGCGCTGATATTTCCAGCACTAATCCATTGCGCCTGAACGTGCACACTTTTGATCCCATCATACACATTAGCACAGAGGCTGCACTCCCTGATTAGTTCCTGCTCTCTGGTGGAAGATGATCATTAGTGATATCCGCTGCTGCAGTGTTTACAGGAGTTAAACCCGCTGCCAGATTAAATAAAACACTGATGCCAATTTGAGAAAAAAAACATTGTATAACATACAGAGTTTGCAGACTTCAAACGCTCCTGCAGTGCCTCTTCATCATACATTATTTGTGTTGTTTATGCATTTTGTCAACAGTTAACCCCCTTCTTGTTTACTACCTAAGAGTCTAGACTGAGACTAAATATGATTCAGCAGTTTTTCCTGGCTGTAAAAAGTTTTCTGAAAATATGAGTCATTTTTTAAGAACAACGGGCACAGGTGTTAGCTTCTCAAATACGAATATTTTCTGGTTTTCTTCTTGGTTTTTATATATTAATAAGTCAACATGTTTAGGATTTTGGGGTTTGAATAGCTTCTCTCAATTGACTTCATTTTTCTTTTAGGATTATAATTGATAATAAAAGAACAGAGAGGCTTGACTTGATTGATACTGAAGTTAAGTAAAAATACACAAGGGCACAACAAACTTTGATGTAGTGAAGAAAATCATGATATACACTGACGAGGATGAACGTGAGGATGAAGAAGAGGAATGTGTGTATCATCAGGACCACAGCTGGATGACAGGGTCTGATATGTGGATCTGTGTTGCACTTTGCATAACATTTGTTTTGTTTCATGCCAGTGCTTAAAAGTAGGCTGTGATGTTCCAGCTGTCAATAGAGCTGATCAATACAGACAGACAGAGCATTTTGAGGGAGGGGGACACACAAAGGGTTTATGCAGATGCAGTAATGGCCGGAAACAAACCCTACAGCAGGTGATTTATCTGCAGGTTCCTCAGAGGAATCACCTGCTCCAGTGTTAAAAGAAGACACACACACACACGTTTACACCATAGACTGTTTACACACCTTTCTTGAACTCCTCCAGCATGGCGTCCAGCTTCGTGTCATGAAACACAAAGTGCACAGGGTGGTTGTAGAACTTGGTGATGGTCTTCAGGGTGGTGCAGTCATCAGGGTCCACGAACGCCAGGTCCTTCACGTACAGGATGTCCATGATGTTGCTCTTCTCGTCGTCGTACACAGGGATACGAGTGTACCCGCTCTCCATGATCTCAGACATGGTGTTGAAATCCAGCACAGCATCCGCCTGGATCATGAAGCAGTCTCCTATGGGCGTCATGACATCCTCTACAGTTTTGTTCCTGAGCTCCAGAGCGCCCTGGATCATGTTGAGCTCCTCCTTCACCAGGTCGTTGTAGGGCTCCGTCACCCTCAGCATCCCCACCAGCTTCTCCCGGTTGTACACGGTGCCGATCTCCTGACCCAGCAGGACGTCCAGCAGCTTGCTGACGGGGAAGGACACAGGGAAGGTGAGCAGCATGAAGAACTTGGTCACCATGATGGTGTTGGCTCCTACAGCCAGCCCGTGGCGGGAGCACAGCGCCTGGGGGACGATCTCACCAAAGATGACAATCCCAACCGTGGAGGCCACCACAGCGCCCAAACCTGATCCGATCAGGTCATCGAGGAGGATGGTGAGGGTGGTGTTCACCAAGACGTTGCCCAGGAGCAGAGAGCAGAGAAGATAGTTCCCTTTGCTACGGATTGGCTCTATTTTTCTTGCGTATTTCTTCTCTTTCTCGGTGCCACAGCTTTGGACGATGCGCAGCTCCATGGGGTCCAGAGCCATCAGCCCCAGGTTCAAGCCGCTGAACATCCCAGAGAGCACCAGCAGGAAGGAGATGAGGATGCACTGCAGCCATAAGGGCAGCAGGGACCTCTTCTCCTCCAACACCAGCAGCTTGCCATCAGTGTCCCCCAGCAGCACCCACCTGCTAGCCTCCACGCGGCTCCGGATGCACACGCCGTACTCCTTCTGCGGCTCGGTCTTGCGGAGCGGCTTAATGTTAACGGTAAGCAGCCCCGACGAGCCTCGACTGCTGACGTTCAAGAAGGTCCCGACGCTTATGTCCTTCGTGAAATCTACACAAGTCCTGTCCGGCGGCTCCATCATGCCGCTGCCTCCTCCTCTCGTCGCCGCCTTTACCGCTTCATCCTCCTCCTCCTCCTCCTCACCTTCATCCGCGCCACCGCTTGCGACATCCGTGAGGTCCGTGAAGCGGATCTGCGTCCAGGCGCCCGAGTGGAGCTGCACCCCGTAAAACCGGAGCTGCACGGAGCTCTCCTCAGTCACCTGGATGACACCCTCGTCATTGGTGCTGGACGGCTTGTCGCTCCTCTCCAGCCGCATGCCGAGCACTTGGCTGCCGCTGACACCGGACGCTGCGGCCGCCGTCTCCGTGCGGCCACCGACTGCGCTCCACAGGAATATAATGAGAGTGAGAATATAACCCTGCTGCCCGCTCCATTCTGTCGCCATGTTTGTTTCACTGCTCGGCGACCCAGGGCCTGACGTCATTTACTCATGTCCGAGCGGCTCCGCCCCCCGCCGCCCATCACACACACCCCCATTATCACCGCCTACCGGGCAGCGACAGGTAGAGCTAATAAACAAACTCCCCGTTCCTCCCCTCACTAGTCATCACACACAAACACACACACATACTGTAGGCCTACACATATACACAACTCCTTTATTTTGATACTCTGTCATGAGTGAGTGATGCATTCACCCTACGTCCCCCTCTTTATTTTAACAATCTATGGTCATCCTCAACTCACCACCACCCCCCACCTCCCCACCTCTGCACGGCCTTGTTTTTGTCTCGGGGCAATGCGGCACACAGCGGATGGGTGCTGCTGCTGCTGCTGCTGCTGCTGCCAGCGGTTTCACATCCTCCAATTGTATCCGGAGCCAGCTGATGTTACGTAAGGCACATGGCATCTGTGCACCCCCATCACCCCCTCCCCCCACTTCTTCTCACCCCCTCCCCACCTCCCCTCATTCTCATCCTGCACCATCCTGCATTGCTCTGGCACAGAGCCCAGTCTTCTGGGTGCGGAGATAAACTCTCTGCAGATGGGGTTTTGTCTATCTGTCTGTATATAATAATAGTAATAGTAAAAATAAAACGTATAATAATAATCTAATGTGTTGTAATAACTGATAGATATTGTAATCTAATTTTTTTTTTTATAAATATAAGGCACAAATTATTATTTCTACAAGGCACAAATTATTATTTGTATTCCTTGTTATTATTATTATTATTATTTGTACGTAGGTTTTTTCTCCCCCTTACTAATAACTCCTTACTTTATTTGAGTTCCTCCTTTAGGCAAGACATTAACTATTTGGCCAAATAATCCCTGATTTGAACTAATTGCTCTTATTATTGGAATATTTCTTACCCATCTTTGTTATAAGGGTCAAGTGACAAAAAGTGCTGTAATACAGCCTAAAGCAGTTACCCATCTTATTGCCACATGGTGTTCAGTTCAAATGATTCTGGTGTAACATGCTAAACACTTTATAAAATAGGACTTATCCGGATTGATTAGTGAATATTGTATTTTCAAAACATCTGCCATAAATGAGTCATTGACAGAAACTATATATTGCTTTGTGTTTAATATCTATTTATTATCAGGTTGTAGAAATGGTGTTATAGACTTCATTATATCGTTCACATGAATTTACAAATGATATCATACTAATGACTTGATGTTGTTTATAAGGGTAGACTGAGATTTAGCAAGATCATTATTAACATCATTTATTCAAACAGATATTGACTCTTATGATTAAGGCAAACAATATGAGCAGCATAATGCACAATTATTTAAACATAATCATCTGAAACAGAATTTGATGAATGATGTCATTCAGTAACTTTATCTCCTTTGGTCTTCTTAGTCTGTGTATGACGTTTGGCTTCTTCGTACAAAAGGATATGGTTGATGTCACAAAGTTTTTCTGGGATGTGAAACCATTAGTAAAGAACCAACTAACGTAACCACCGCCAACCAATCTCCTCCTAGAGCACCATTGTGTTTTAACCAAACATGGTTTAAAAAAAACAAGTGGCATTGGGAATGGCAGCTCATTTGCATTTAAAGCTACAGATACAGAATCAGCACTTTTGAAACAGGGCTGAAACAGAGGGGTTTATGGGATGCTACAACACATGATCTGTTTGGGATTACAAGCCAAACACTTCAGAAACATGTTTTATATCTGAGACCTACAATATATTGTTGAAAAATAGTATAATAGGGGACCTTTAAATTATGAGTTTATAATGTTAGGGATTCTGTTTTCAAATTATGGTGAGACATGTTCTTCTAAAAAAACAAATTAAACAAAGGACAATCTGTCCTGTACATATTTCCCTATTAAAACTTCTACAAAGGCAACTGTGAAACATGTTGTCGGTAATGTTTAAAACTTTGTTCTGAGTGATATATTTTCTAACTGGAAGATCATGGTATATTTTAGTTGTGTATGTTAAAAGTAAAGAAATGTGTGTAACCATATCTAAATGAACAAAAACCCACACCTTAATGGATATACTGTATGACAGCAACCTAAACGTCTGGCTCTTCTGTTCTGAGGTCAAATCTACTTTGAAATTCTACATTCTTGTACTTTATTGTTTACATTGCAGAAATGATTAAAAAAACGTGTGCTTAAAGAGTAACTTAACACCAGCAGAAAATCCTGCTTTGAGGACCTCCAGTGGTTTAACTTATCCTTTTGCTGCAGTAATGTAGACCTGAACTCTACAGTGTTAGAGTTCATTAGTGTTTATATCAACTGGGTAACAGCCAGTAAACTGATTTCTTAAACGTCACAGAAACTGGTGTCTGTAAATGGAAAAGATAGTATGAGAAGAAGCTCACTTTCCCTTGGTAGATTTATTCTGCAGAGAGTCAGTTTCTTGTCCGTAAAGTCACATTTGGAAATGACTTGTACTTGAAGCAGCTATAATCAATACTGTTACAATAATCTTCCAACTTCTGAGGTGAATATGTGTCCGCTCAGCTGATAAATGCTCCTCGATCTTTACCAGCTATTCTCTAACCAAGACTGTCCGCAGTTTGCTGATCATGTTTTCACAGGCTAATTACCGACTGTGACCTTATACACAGTGCACAGAGGGAGAAATGTAATCAGTGGCCATGGCTAATGTTTTGCCCTAGGGCCCTGAAGGGGGCTAATGCTGCCCTGATGCTAAAGCATTGATTTGGCTGTGGATGAACACTCAGTGAACTCTGTCACACGGGGATCTGAGCTCTCGATCACCGCAGCCTCCTGCCTCGTCTGCTGCAAGAACGCCGCATCCGTCCGCAGGAGGAAGCACCTCCACTTTGTAGCTCACCTTCTTGGACTGCAGGATGCTGTAGCTGTTATCAAAGCACAGCACGTCTGCACAAACAAAAGGACAAAACACTAAGTTACAACAGCGACCATTATTCAGGTCATTATATATTCATGAGACATAACTTGTTAATTAGGTGGATTTTATTCAATTTGACAGAGGCAGGTTTACTGTTTCCCCATGTTGTTAGTCTTATGCCAAGTGCCTTCCTGCTGTTGCTTCATATATTCACTGTACAAGCACATTTCCCTAAATGTAAAACAGCTCGTTCAGCACTTTCATGGAAAGCATGTTTTATGATATTCAAATAATATATCAGAGACTCACAGACTCCGGGCTCGGGGCAGGTGAGGCAGCTGTCTTCAGGCACCAGGTGAGCGTTGTAGCGCTCGCTGGGCAGAACCTGCAGCATCTCAGACACTTTCTGACCCCCGCCCTCTTTAGTCCGTCTGTACACTCCAAACCCGATGTCTGCTCCGTCACTGGTGAACTGCCACCTGGAGGACAAACAGGGGCCAGACAGAGTGTGTAATTTATATATGAAAACGTAATCAAAGATCAAAAAGGATCTACATTATGCAAAGCACCAGAAACAGAAACATATTTTTAACTGTGTTCATTAATAGTTTAATAGTAATTTGTATTATGCATGCGCTTTTGTTTGCACATTAAATTGTTGTTGACATTTATTTTATATTGATCCAGGTGTTACTTGGTAAGAGCCAAATTATTAATTAAATATATTTAAAAAACGGTTTCTTAGAGAAAGAACGGTTAAATCCTAGAGAGTGGTGTTCTTGGAAATGAAACCGAGAGGAATTAGGATTCATAATGATGAATTTTAATGAGTTTATTAATATTTTTATTTTATTTTTTAAGTCAAAATACTAAATTCTTTCGAGGAGGCTAGTGTTGTATGAAATAATATGTCAACATAAATCTATATGTGTTTATAAATCAGCTTTTTAATAATTTCCTGTAAAGTTAGTATCAAGTTGACCATTTTTTGAGCTGTTAAAGATCAATAAATAAAGCTTAAATGTGTCCTCTAACAGCTGCTGGTTGTTTGGTACCTCAGCAGGCTGCTGGCGGCTGTCACATCGTACTCCAGCTGGAGGGCGGAGCCTCGGCTGACGGTCACACTGCTGTCGTACTGAACATTCACCGAGTCCAGCACATAGTACGACCTGGGAACTGTGCCACCATAATTTATCTGCAAAACAACATCCACAATTTAAATGACAATAATTGAAGAGACTGACTTACTGGTTCATCAATGTTTTGAGTTTGCTTTCACCATGGTTCTGCAGCGAGGGTCTCCATCAGGGTCCGTCATGTTTCCACCGTACGCCACAGGAAGCTGGTCTGGGTCGACATGTTTACGTAACTCTTCCTGCCAGTTACCTTTACTCAGAGAAATTTGGTTAGTTAGTACTTAGTTTAATTAGTACTTTTAATGCAGCAAATAATCTGCATACCGCCTTCACCACTGCTGAACACAGATTTAAACAATGCTTGATTTAGAATTAGAATACTTAAAAGTGTGGCTTTGCATTGGCAAATTTTATGAGGAAGGAAATGTATACAACATATTTGTTAAGGTTCAAGGATATGGAACTCCATTATGTAGTTTACATGTAAACTATTGTTTGTGTACTAAAAAACTCAGCAGGGCAGCTTTAACTTTCAATTCTGTGCCATCATCAGGTCAAACATTTCAAAGTTTAGTTTATGACCCAATTCCTGCAAAGCTAATGACATTCCCTTCAGCTGCCAACTGTTAGCATGCTGATGTTAGCCGCTTAGCCTTGTTTGTACACTTTCAGATTGAATAAAAGTGGTCTTACTTCCTAAAATGTAGATCTTGCGCCGCGTTTCCTCACACATAAAGTGTTTGATTAGATTGTAGGCCACGGGAAACATTTTGGGAGCTGCAGACAAAGACACAAACTGACAATCATGAACACTAACTAGAAGTCTGGAAAATGTAAAGTCTTCAGATCTGCCGAAGCACCTTTGATTAGAAAAACCCTTTTCAGGCCCTCTGGGTAATTCTCTTCAAACATGGTGAGGACCTGCACACGAGAATGTTGATCATTATAATGAAATACATCTTTATTCAATTCAATGTGATGACATGTTGTGTTACAGTGTGGTCAAACCTCTCCATAAGTCTCTACAGCAGGTTTCCAGATGTGTTTCAGTCCGAGTCCTTCACAGTCGTAGATCAGAGAGATAGATTCAATGTGCCGCCCCAACTGAGACAGAGAGGGAGGAGGGTTAGGAGAGAAGAGGGGAAACAAGGAGGAGAACAAGGAGAAGAGAGGAAACAAGAGAAGACAGAGGAAGAGAGGAGGAGAGTAGAAGAGAAGAGGAAACAAGAGAGGAAAGACAAAAGGAAACTACAGAAGGAATTGGGGAGAGGAAACCTGGCTAAGAAAAGATGATAGGAGAGGCAACAAGACAAGTGGAGGCAAGACGAAACAAGGAAAGAGAGTAGAGGAAAGGAAACAAGAGAGGAGAGGATGCAAAGAGGACACTTAGAGAGGGTCAGAGAGGAGAGGTAACAATTGGATGTAAGATGTAAGAAAAAAGTAGGAGAGAATGGGGGGCGGAAACATGTATAAGAGGAGAGGAAATTAAAGGAAACAAGAAGAGAAGAAAGGAGAAGGAGAAGAGAGGAGGGGATGAGGTAATATGGCAAATTAGAAGAGGAGTGGAGACAAAACTAAACAAGAGGATAGAAAGTAGGAAAGGAAACGAGATGAGACAAGAGAGGAGAGGAGAGTGTCCCCCTCACCTTCTCAGACTGCCTCTTGCACTCCCTCCTCAGGATCTCTGTGTGTCTGATCTTGGTCTTCAGGAAGTCCTGCTTGCTGGCCGACATCAGGAGACCTTTAGGATCCATAGGACCAATCACATCGTACCAGATGGGACTCCCCTCCCTGTCGTACCCACACATCCCTCCAGACACATACTTCTCAATCACCTGATTAAAACAGGAAAACACACACAGTCTATATTTATTTTCATTTGTATTGCCAGCGGTGGAATTGTATTGTATTTAAGTACTTAATGCAACTCCATACTTTTAATCTGTCTTAGAAAGACATCTTTTTACTTTATTTGACTCAGAGCTTTGGTTATTAGTTTATTCCTGTCTATGAAGACATGTCATTCCAGATTTGTTGATTTTGAATGTTTGTGTTAAACTAAAGGAGGAATATTCTTCTACTTCCTAATCTAGATAACCTTTTAAAAACCCTCTTGGATCAGCTAGATTGCATATTGAGCTATGATGGAAAGATACCTTTAATAAGTTGTATGAATGTATTCAAACATTCAGACAAAGTGTATGTTAACAAGCCCTGCATACCTCTGGAGGTTTCCAGTCAGAGATGATGGTGTCTACGTTCATCTTCCTCCTGAACTCCACATGCTGCAGACAGAGAGGACAGGTTTCAAACATGCTCACTAACCACATGCTACACCCTTACAAGGTAAAACACACGACTGATCCGTGTTTAAAGTTAGAGCTCACCTTTCTGATCATGGCTTCAGATTTCTGAACATTGAAGCTACGAGCTGCAAAAACAAATAAAACAATCTTCATTAGTAAAGCAGAGGTATGATGCTGCAGTGGAAGTACATCCTCATATAAGTATACCTCAGGACAAAAATGAGGTTCATTGGTACTGGAACATTCCACCAGCACGCTGTTTCGAATTGTAAATGAACACATCTGGATCAAGGAGTAAAGAAATACTTCATACAAAATGTGAACCATGGCATACCTCTTTTCTAATCATTACTCATTCCTACTGTATGTCCTGCAACATTTCAACACCAACAATGTCTGACAATCACACAATAGAAAGCATGACACAGTTCAGTATAAATTGCCTGTTTTTTTATGCCAAGTAAAGAGAAAAGTCCAAGGTTAACAGCCAATGCAAATATTGATCAGAGTCCCTCCAATGATCTGAACCTCTCTGTAGTCTGTTGAAAGCACAGGGTCCTGCATGTCCTGTCCCCCAAACTACCAGCTCAATGTCCGTCGAGATAACATCAGAAATGACAAGAATTCCTGGTAAGAAGACCGAGGACCTGACTTAATTTGTAAAAAGTACGTCATAGGAACCTCTTTAAGTTGTATTAAGGAAGTAAGGCTTATTTTTCAAGGAGGAGAAAGTTCATCACTGCAGTTCAACTACTGTAAGGTCGAATTGAGTTCAAACATTTACTGTAAAATAAGATGGTTGAGCTGAGGTACTTCAATGGCTCTTTGCTCAGTCAATAATACACAGTATGTTTCAGGGCCACAGGGTCAGGGGGGAGGGCGGTGTTTTAGGAAATAAATTAATGATTAAACAAATGAAGGTTGAACATTTTGTAACTTTTGAAAGACAGCAACGGAAACTACTTTGAGGGGAACCTTAAGAAGTGCTGCACATGGCTTGGACACACTTATCGTTCCACTGAGAAACACACAATGTAGTTCATTTTCCAACACAACTGACGGATCGCTGACTTTTATAACTTCATAACAAACACTAAACTCTGATTAATTATGTTTTCTCAACTTTCTGTGTGTTGAGCTCGGAGGGCCGTTATCGAACCTGGGAGGGTTGAATTGTGGTCACTGTTAGATGCAAACCAACAAATTATATTTGTTATGCTTTAACTAACCGTGATGAAATAAACAGTACAACGTGATGGTTATACAAAATTGACACCATCAGTGTTTAGATTTATAAGATATTAAGTACGAGATACTTTACCTAAATATGTATTTCTTGCTTTTTCCCTGTTGGTCTGGATACTACATTTTTCACTCGAAGTACGCTCTAAGTAAAATGGAAAACGCTCTTGTCTTTGCAAAGCAGCGGCTAACTATAATACCACTTGGAAACAGGATAGTTGAAACTTTTCTAACTCCACTGAAGAGGCTACTTTATAACCCCACTGTGAACAAATAAGTTTTAGAGAACCTGGCAACACACCTGTTCCCCTTTAATACTGCTAATTATTTCATGTCTCAGTATGGTATGACCTGTTTGATTCAATGCAGAACAATTACGTTGTTATACTTTTACTTCAAGTAACTGGAAACCCCCCCATGCCTGGGTTTAACCTCACATGATAACACTGATCACTGACTGAGAGAACTTTCCTCTTGTGTTGTATTGGCTGCCATTCATATGTTTCAGCTGCCTGTGGTAGTTAATGCCAGAAACTACCCTCACTCTGGTTCATCACAAAACACAGTTCCCATGTTTTCCCATGTCTGCAGGGCCGGATTCAGAGCAGGACTGTGAGGGGAATAGGGCTGCAGGCTTTAGTGGCTGTCAGGGAACTGATTTGATCCTCTTCAACTCACTTCTATGTTGCTTCCTTTAAAACAATAACCCCTCATTACTGCATGCCTACATTAAATGTCAAATTTTTTCTACCTTTTAAATCCAATATTTTTGAACAATTTAAAAAGTATGCCAGTTGTCCTGCGTGCCAAACAGGTGTACTTAAAGTATTAAAAGTAATGCAAATCTATTGATATGTCCTGTTATGGATATCTGAATACAATACAAGTGCTGTAGCCTACTCAAATCCTAAATGTGTTTATGTCGCCCTTAAAAGGATGGTAAACTAAGTTGCCTGGACTGTAAATAACAGTCATACCTCTAGTTCGATGTTCTGGTAACACTTTAATCTCTGCTTTTTTCCTTTGTCTTTACACAGTATTTTTTTTTGCAGTTCTCTCCTTTTTTCTAATCTGTGGACTTCATGTTTCACGCTTCTCATACGGATTCAAGGAGTCACCTTGTACTTGGTGGATGGTTGTGTGAACGTTGTTTTGCCAGCATGGTACCCACACAGAGAAAAGGCTGAATGCTAAATGCTGCCTGTGCAGGTGTCTCACCTCGGAGGAAGCGGAGCAGGTAGTGGTCGTGCTGCGCGGGGAGGCTGGGGAGGACGTCCTGGATCCTGCCCCGAAACTACACACAGGAAAACCACAAGAAACATATATAAATATAAATATTCATTAAGAAATAGTGAGACATTTTGGGAAATACAATTGTTCAAGAAACAAGATTAAAACAACTCTCATGTTTGTATGTAAATATGAAACTACTATCAGTTAGTTTAGCTTAGCAGAAGACAGGTGAAAACAGCTAGTCTGCGAAAAGGATGTATGTTATTGGATTATCACTATTTACACATTGAAAGGCAATTACATTTTAGATTTGGAGATAGTTTTCACTAGTGTAAAAGTTAGATTTATCAATATGAATACAATTTCATCATATCCCATTTTTCATATGAAGATGTTCATCTGAATATTAACCAAAGTCATAAAAGATATAGAAAAACACATGTAAAAAGCCTTTTTTAGCTTTTTCTTCTGCAACTTTTCTCTTTTCTTTCATTTAATAATGCAGTTATTCATAATCTTATTATGTTTTTTTTGTGCAAAGTTTTAATCTTGAGGAAAAAAAGCTGAATAAAAACTGCAGCATTCCCTAAATGTGGTAAAGTACACCTTGGAATAAAATCTCAATACTAAAGTAAAGTACAAGGACCTCAAAAGTGTGTTTAAGTACAGTATATGTACCACAGAGGTAAGAAAGTCACGTCAAAATAAAAACAACGTCTCTAATATTAAACAGACTGTGGAGAGTTCTAGTTACCATAGAATCCCTGTGAAACCACAACAAAAGCAACCATAGTGACACAAAGCACGAAACACTCGTTCAGTATCAATGCATTAGTAAAATCATAGAAATCCTTGATTTGAAATATGTTTACCTCAGTTAATATCTCAGCCTGCTTTGGGCTCAAGTCTCCAACTCGTCCACTCATGCCTGCAGTTGTTGTGTCCCTCTGTCCCAAACTGTGAATGAAATGCAGGCGAGGGAAACTGACAGGTAGAGGAAAAAACACCACACCCCCATGTGTACACACACACACACACACACACACACACACACACACACACACACACACACACACACACACACACACACACACACACACACACACACACACACACACAGTCCAGTTGAGAAAGTGAGGCATTAAAGAAAACCTTTTTTTAAATTGTTGGTAGATTCTTATTTAATGTCAAACCTGTTTTATCTGATTTGTATTACTACTGATAACTAATATATAGATTAAACAGCAAAAGTGATGTCATGCAAAATGACACATTGAAGTTACACATAGCTAGAACAATGTATATTATATTAATGGATAATAATTATTATAAGTATTATAATTATTGATTTTATTGTTGCAGTTTGTAAAAGGTGATTTAATCAATCATCATTTATTTGTTGATTATATTTTGTAAAAAAAAAAGGTACTGAATAAATAGTTGAATACAAAAGTAGAATAAGAAAAATCAAGATACTCAAATAAAGTATAAGTACCTTAACATTTTACCTAAGTGCTGTACTTAGTACAATTAGGTTGGGTTTTGATGGCTCTATTAAGATTATCAGACATTTTTGAAATGGCAAATTAGAAATTTGGTTTGAATTAAATTAGAGGTGCCAAAGATTCCTGGGATTGAAAGATTACAAACAAATATGTTTTTTTTAAATATAAATGTCATTTTATTCTTTAAATACAGGAGCTATTCAGAAACTGATGATTAGGACCCAGATACCAGGTTCCCCAAATAAAAGCTGGTGCTTAGGAATAAATAGATGATTTACACAAAGCAACACAATCATAAATCACAAAGTACCACTCAAGAAGAAAGTTGTTTTGATCACCCTAAACAAGAAATAATACTAATTTAACTTGCTAAAAAATGATTTCTCTGTTTGTAATGCTCAAAAGTTTATATAATAATAATAACATGGGTGTCCTTTGTCAAAATCCATCAGCCGTCAGATAACATCAGGCTTGATTTGAGGTTATTTGCACAGCAGGTGAAACACGTTGACCTTCCCACCGTTTGCTCAATGTAAAGCATCAAGACGCAGATCTCCGCTCAAACCGATTTGTGTTTACTTCAAAGGCTGATCAGGAAACTACCAAAATACATCAGATGGTGGGAAGGTGAGGATAGTGAAGATGGAGCTTAATGACCCGGAAAACATATTTTAAATCAGCTTGCTATATGTTGTTTGAAAGTGGACGGGGCTAAAATGAGAAGAGATGATGTCACAGATACATGCACCAATCAGAAATAAGCATAACATCTATTTGGTAACCACTGGTGGTGTGTTTGGTTCACTGTCAAGTTGGATTTGTACACTTATTTACATATCTCCTAATGATGATACTAAATCTGAAATTTGAATTTAGGGAACCTTTTAAATATATATATAAAAAAATTATGGGGGTTTTAAGACAAATGCTTGCTGTAGGTGGAAATATACCAACCTGCATAGTTACGCTTGCCACTGACACTTTTTTCAGACATTGGTCCAACAGATTGTTAAGAACCAGTTATACATTAGAAATAAAAGCCATCCAATGCATTTAAAGTGTTACTGATGTCTGTATTACATTTGGTGCCATTCCATTTAGGAGATGTTGACATATTTCACTTTCGACCTGCGGGTGGCGCTAGACAAACGTCAGTAAGAATCATCCTCAGTATATATTTTTAAGCCAATTCATCCGATTCCTCAGATTTATAACTGAGTCATGGCCACTCAATGAAAAGAAGACTAATCTCTGATCACCTCATTTTGAAATCAACACATATATAATAAACAAAATAAAAAGTGAACATGAGTTGTAGAAAGCTTACAGCTGGTGTAAAGCTGCTTTTATTTAGATTTTTACACTTTACTATACATTCTTTATGCATTGCATTTTAGGATTACACATTTTCCACCTTATGACAAAATTATATATTTTTTTAATTTCTGCGATTAACTGTCTAGTGTTTTTTTTTATTATTTATTATTCCTCCCAGTGCTTCAAAGATGCTACACAAACTTCAAAATGAATGTAGCCTATTGTCCTATCAAAAATATGAACTATTTTTCTGTTTTATTTTTACTTTTGTACCAATGATTCCAAAAATAACTCTTCATTGTTTTAAAAAGAAAACACCAAAACGAAAACAAATCTCTACGCTTAGTTTTTCTTTTATACATTTAGACAAAAACTGAAAAGGGGGCTTCTGGGACGAGATGAAAAAACTGAGACTTGAATTGTGCAAAGCTACTTTAAACAGTGCATGCTAACCAGGATGCATTTTACAGGAATACAACCTGTGTGCGCTCTTTCATTCTGAATTTAAAGATAATACTTTTATCATAAGTCCTTCCTTTAACCACATCACTCGTACGAGGATACTGGCATTTGAAACAAGCTTTACATTTGGTGATAAAGACAAGCTGGTGAAGCAAAAAGGGCGACGTTATCCCTGTTGTTATTGACTGATTAAAAACCTACATGTGTTTTAACGGTTGGAAAGAGCCTTAAAGCTAATGGGAAATACATGAAATAAATACAAAATACATATAGCCTGCTTTGGATATTTTGATAAAACACTTTGAGTTCCTGCTCCATACAAAACACGAGAGAACTTCTACTGCCCTCAGGACACACACAAGAGATCTCTTTAAGCATTGGTTAAATAATTTCCAGAAATCAACGCACTTATTCTTTGCCGAGTTAGAAGATATCACTCGGGTGTCTGTGCTCTAGATAAGAAGCTACAGCTACGTTGGCTGTTTCTTTATATTTCACTAACAGATCGAGCAATCTCCTCTCTTGGCAAGAAAGCCAATAACGATATTTCTCAGTAATCTTCTCATTTAAAAGTGTTCACAAAAGCCTGTACATGTAGAATTGCTTAATTTTAAAAATGCAAAAAAGTGTGAGATGACTTCAAAATGCTTACAGAGCCATACAATGTGATGTAAAGATCTCATCAGGTGTGCAAAATCTGATCATTTAACTCAAACCCTGAAGGAGACATCGTCAAATATCTTGAAGTAAAGAAATCATTGGTATTTCAGCCGTGAAAGAGGACGCTGTGCTGCTCATAAAGTAACACATGCTCCATCAGAAGTAAACATGTTTAGACATTTTTAGCTGAAGCAGAAAATAAGAAAAGCAAAACGTAATGCTAATGTTTTAAATTAACTTGAGTTTGATCCATGACAGGATGCTCCAACACACCGGACACATTCACTCTTAGCATGGAGAGGAAGCTCTAGATGGCTGATCACCTCTTGGATTATAAAGCCACATGTATCCTCCTGTGGAGATGAGCTGAGCTTCATCCGGACACACAACCTGTTACTGACACACAGCCGGCCTCATGGAAGGATCCGGAAATCCACTTCATTTCTTTAGATCAATAACTCATTTTATAGTCCGGATCTGTTGAACAATACATGTTTGACTTAAAAATCGCAATTATGGAGGAGTTTAAATATGTTACCTAAACACAAAATAAGCTCCTTGGTAAATTCATATTCTTATCGACATATCACCATCATGTATGGCTGCAAATTTACGATAAGCTTTGACTATTTTTCATTCCTGTTACAGCACCTGAAAATGTTACAACACTGTCAAATGTTCTCGTTGACCTCCATCGCCTTCATTCATTTTTGGTGGCCTTGATTATGCTTATCCACACATTTGGTTTCATTTATCACTTTTAAATGAGTTTTTGAGTTTGGTAATAGTTAACTGAAACAATGGTGGAAGGAAAACTTTACTAATAAAATGTCAGAAGTTTAGGACCCAAATGTTTTCCTGCATGAGGCCCGGAGTGTTCCTGTGCAGTGTCATCTTACCCCAGCATATGAGATGAGAGCATAGTACCTTGAGAGGAAATGAGATGCGATTTATTTCTATCCCTGCGGTTTTTAAGAGCGGGGCGAGCACCTGATCACACGTATCACCTCCGAAGTACTGAAAACTACAGTCAGTAATATCCCTTGCTTTAATACCATCATTTCATTCAATAAGCCCATAAAATATAATAAATACATCCAAATGAGAGACATGTCGATAGAGCGCCTGTGGGAAACATTCACTGATGAGCTCCGAGCTGACGGAGGCAGCAGGGAGCCTGGAAGGCAGAGCAGAAGAAACGGGCTGAAGAGCTTGGTTGTATTTGGTCATGTTGCGTAATCCTTGTTTAGTGTTAGGCTTCTTGTATTAAAGCAGCTTTGGTGAGCACGGAAAGCACTTCGATAACAGAAAATCAGTTTACATCCCTCCGAAAGTACACTCCCAACCTCAGGGGGGGAGTGTTGTGCCGCTGCGACTGGCTGCATGTCCAAACTTTGCAAACATGTTGCATGGCATGTCCCGCCAACATCTACAGCTTCTCTCTGTGCTCAGCCATCTCCAATACTTGTTTTAGTGTGTCTGCATGTGCATTAGATGGTGTGTGTGATGTAGAAGATGAACTCCATGTCCATGGCAGTCTGGGGGACACTGGCGCTCCCGCCATGGATGACGGGGATCAGAGCGCTGTCCAGCTCGTTCATGTAGCGCTGAGGGAGGAGCCGGCCCCCGCAGCCCGCCTGGTACTCCACCTGAGAGGAGCACAGGGGGACATTTAAAACAGCTCTCCTTAATTAGGCAGAGGACATACTAAACACTTCACTGTGTAACATGTGGGGCTGGACCATTTGGATTAAATAACTAATGGTGATTATTTTGACTGATGTTGCAATTGTAATTTGTATATAACAGGGAATGACCATTATACAAAATATGTATACATGTTAATAGTACTTTTTTTAAGAGTTTGGAGTGTTTGGCTCCAAACACCAAACAGATTGTGCATTGTAGCGTCCCATAATCCCCTCTGTTTCAGCCCTGTTTCCAAAGTGCTGATTCTCTGTTACTTTAGATGAGAATAAGGAGCCACTCCCCTCGTAGAGAGATTTGGTTAAAAAGAACACAACGGTGCTCTAGGAGGAGATTCAGGTGATAAGGTGGGGGGGGGGGGGTTACCTTGGTTGGTGATTGGCTAATGGTTACACAACCCAAAAAAACTTTATGACATCACAACGTGGCCAAAATCTCTTTTTCAGACAGATATATATATAAATGGATCAGGACAAAAAGAGAGAGAATCTTTTTTCCTGAAACTTCCAGAATCTCTTTCCACAGAGGGGACACATGCTGATGTATAAAAGACATGAAATTGCATAATAGGTGACCTTTAAAATACCATTTGTTGGCCGGGACACTTCATATACATATTTTGCATTTACCAAATAGTGCAGTTACAGTGATTTGGATATTACAGTAGGTCATGTTGCGATCATATTTAGATTAATGGTGCAGCCCTTGTACCAAGAATTGATGTTTACCATATCAGCCTGTGTAGAGATGCGCAGAGTGAGGGAGTTGATCCCGCTGGAGGCGAGCACAGCGAGGTGAGGCGTCAGAGCGCTGCAGGCGGCCAGAGCCATCTCCTTCTGGAACACGCTGCAGGACGACAGCACCGACGAGAAGTTGCTGTCCGGGGCCTTGAGCTGGTAGAACACCTGGAGGGACATTCAGAGATTCTCACACCTGGACTGCCGGTGCATCAAATGGGTACAAAGGACGACAGTATGTTAGTTCACCTCTGTGCAACTGATGGTGCGTCCGTCAGACTCAAACTCAGTGTCCTGCTGCACCCTCACACTGCGGACCCCATCCAGAGGTCTGCCATCCACCCCGCTGGTAATGCTGCAGAGGAGCAGGAGGAAAGAAAAGAAAAGATTTCAAATACATTTAAGTCACTAAAATGAGTCCCGGTCAGTTATTGCACCAACGGAGTTATGTATAAGACAAGAACGGTGCTATGGAGTTTATATGGTTATGAGTGTTTAACATTTCACCGTTTTACAACCATGCAATAATACATTTATAATTGTGTGCTTTGAATGTTTAGACATAGCTTAGGTGTATGTGACACATTCCTCCTAATTAAGAGTTATTTCTTGTTATTTAATTTGATATATTTCACAGCCTAAGAGATCATTTCGGTTTATACCCTATTTTGACCAGTTGCATTTTGGGAAGAAATCCTTATGTGCTTCTCCTTAGCGTGTCTTCTGTGTAAAGTCAAGAGAACGTTAGAAAAGGAGTAAAAACATCTAATGCTTCTACCAAAATCCGTGACACACACGGAGCCCCTCACATATGACGAGCTGAAACAGAGAGTGAGGTTTATTCGTAGTGCGGTGCAGGACAGATTGCACAACAGTGTGTAAACACTTGTGTGTGTTTGTGCCGTTACCCTGTGTTGACGGGTGAACTCAGGTCGACCCAGCGGACAGTGACGATTTCTCGGACCTCTCCTCCATCGTTCCTGCCGCAGGGTATCTGGAAGTCTGTCTGGTCCCTCAGGGCGGTGCGCAGGGACTCCATGGTCTCTGGGGGGATTTGCACCATCAACCCATCTGACATGTAGAGAAAATTCATTCCATTTAGTGTTGGGTGCAAACACGATAGGCAAGGCAAGTTTATTTATACAGCACCTTAAAAACAAAAGGCCATTCAAAGTGCTTTACAAACTTGAGAAACATCAAGCAAATATTGCAGCACAAACACATTATACAAGGACATTTAAAAAGAGTCATTCAAAAGCAGAAGATAATAAAATAAACATTAAAGAAGCCAATATAGGATAAGACAGGTATACACTACAAGTAACACTGCGTTGATATTTTAATTAAAAGCAGCGTCTTCAGCCTGGATTAAAAGTAGTAAGAGTTGCAGCGGACCTGCAGGTTTCTGGGAGTTTGTTCCAGATATTTGAAGCATAATAACGGCTTCTCCACGTTTAGTTTAAACTGAAAGCATTGTAGAATAAGCGCCCACCAATAAGTAAACCGAACGCCATAAAACATATCACTTTTGTCTTTAACTGGAAAGATTTGAATCTGCCTTAATTCCCGGGACAAATGAGTGCACTGGTTACTGATCCAGGGTATATGCAGAAATCCTGAGGTCAAATTTAATACCTTTTAAGACCTTTTTTAAGACCCTTTCCATACATTTTAAGACCTCATCGCAACTTTGAGTTCTAACCGGTTACATTGGCAACACACTTTACCTCACATTTACTATATTGATTGTAAGATAGCACAACTAAACAGAGCGCAGACAGACTATTGAAGCCTCCTCTCCACATGAACTTCAACCTCTCTGTGAAGGTCAGGTTTAATGCAGTATGCTGCTTTGTTGCTTCTGTACTCTGTGCTCTTTCATTCCAGTAAAACTCCTCAGCAGAAACCAGTATTTGACCAATAAACAAAACAATTGACAAAACTTTGAACTATGAAATATATTAAACTTTGGTGAGCTTCAGCGGGGTAATGCCATATAGGAGCTCCCTCACAAATACCCAGGGGTTAAATCTGGGGCTGTCCGGGGTTAAGCCCTGGCACATAGGACGATGCTCTGACGTCATCACCCTCACACATTTGTCATATGTTTACAAAAAAGGATATATATGTTAAGACTTTTCTCGTTCTTAATATAGACTATATTAGGGTCGATATATGTTGACTTTACTTTAAAATAGCAGATCTCTGTGACCGGATATAGTTTGGCTTAGACCCCGGCCCCATACGGTAAAACGCATACGCAAACGCAAAAAAGTCTTCCGTTCACACACATTCGATTCATTAACGTGTCCGTTCACACTAGACCGCTGGAAATGCTGGAAACGATGTAGTACATATGTCAGGCCTGTAAGTGGCGCTGCTGCCGCCCGAAATACACCAAAAGCAGCGAAGAAGACCCCGGAGCATGGTTGCCATGGTTGCCCTTCTGTTTATTCTCCGCGGTGGACGGCGTGTTCTCCTGCTGTATCTCTCAGGTAGTCCACCAGCAGATGAAAAACACCCACCTCTCCGCCTCTTCCAAGGAACGAGGGAACCGTGCGGCAGAGTTTCCGTTAAAAAAAATGTTCCGCCGGTCAACATGTCCGTTAAAGTTTAAATCTTCCGTACAAAATTAGAAAAGTGCCGATCAGAGGTCTTCTTTGTTATTTATTGAGCTTTAAAACAAATTGATAACGACTCTGTTCTCTGTATAATAATATAATAATATTTAATAAACGGTGCCTGCCTCTCTTTTCCTCCCCCTCTTCTGACAGCCCAGCAGCAGCAGGAGACGTGGGGAGAGGGAGGCGGGCTATTTCATCGTTATCAGAAAATGATCATATAGACAGGGCTTACACACGGAGCCGTTGGACCCCCAGAGCGTTGCGTATGCCGGTCTACCCACCTTGGGACCCGTTACCGTAGTCGTTTAGTTCCCCCCCCACCCCCCCACAGAGCGGAGCAAGGCAACGAAACTTAAAATAAGAAGCAGCATTTTATGGCGCGCTCTGCATGGGGCCGCCTTGAGGTGGTTTCCCGACATGTCGATTCAGTAAATTAAAGGGTGTTTCATGTTGTCGTTGCTGTGGGACTTCTTAATACCTTGGAAAATGCCGTTTAATACTTTTTAATAGCCTTAATTTTCACTAAATTTATTTATCCACTTTTAATACTTTTTAAGACCCCGCGGACACCCTGTGATCGTATCGGTCTCTGATAGATGGAAACATGACACCCAGGTTAACAGGATCACTTTCTTTTAAAGCCCAGTGCTATGTGAGGTGAGTTGAAGTGAATATATAATAAATCAAATGAACAGGGATATGGACAAACATGTTTTATTACCAGCAGATTGTTTTCATTGCATTTGAAAGCTAAAAGATGGAAAAAGGATTTAACTTTACCTTCAACTATGCTGGACTTGGCAATAAATCCAGAGGAGGCTTTCAGTGCTCCGTTAAACACAACAAAACTGGCTCCAGTCACTGCAACGAAACACAGACCATCAGACGGTTAACACTTTACATAAAACAGAAATGTAATCAACACATAATTTGATTTGTTGATGTTGTTTTGCTCACTGGTCTTCTTCAGTTTGATTGGATGCAGTAGCAGGCAGGATAACTGAGCGCTCTCACCTGTGCGGGTCTTGCCAGGCTTGCTGTTGGCCTGCGTCTGATAGTTCCCCTCCTCGTTCTGGAAACACACCAGGTGAGAGTCGGCCTCCGAGCTGAACCTGGCTCCGATACTGATCACGTGCTCGTTGGATGCATTCACCACCTTCTGCATCTGGAGACACATTCACAGTGTCTCAGGGCTGCGTGTTTCCCAGTGCACGTGTTTTATGTTTCGTGGAAAGGCTCTTTCAATTTCAATCTAATCTTGGACTTCACCAGACAAAGAGGAACTTTGTTATTTGGCTGAGTTGGAAGGAGTATTCAAATCCTTTACTTAAGTACAATTTTCGAAACCACACTCTGAAAAACCACGAGCAAAGTATTGCATTAAAAACCTTACAAATTATTTTAGGAGAAACTACTGTTACAAAGTGCTTTACATACAATTAAAATACAAGTAAAACATTAATTGTGCAGCTAAATGTTCTCTGTCAGTGTTTTACTATTATACTATAGTGTTTGGATTCATTATGGCCCAAGATGTCATGGTATTCCTTTACAGCTCTCTAACCTCATTGAAGCTGTTTTTGGGGATCTCGATGTAGCTGTGGCCCATCTCCATGTGGATCCTCAGGCCCTCCACCACCGACAGACTGTACTGGTAGTTCCTCAGGTCCTGTGAAGCATTTACAGTTTAGGAATACTGAACCAAAGGATGTACTAAAGTATTATTTGACTGATTATTCACACAATTAAATGGTGGCTTAGAAAGTGCCATTTGTAATTGATGTTGGTGAACAAAACACACAGACTATATCTGATAAATGCCAAGCCGAAGGGACTATTCGGTGAACATTTAAATTTCCGTATCTGTAATAAACATGAACAGCTAGAACATCTCCTCCTTGAGTCCAATATTGACTGTTTGGGAATTTCGGAATCTTGGCTAAAACAGTCGTCACCATCCACTCTTGTATCTATGTCAGGATATAATGTGTTTAGGAAGGACAGACTGAAGGGAAAAGGAGGTGTTGCTTTATGTGAGGAATACCTTTACCTGTAGGGAGATTGCACTCCGAGCTAATGTTGAGTTTGATTGTGTTGGTGTGGAAATCACACTTTCTGAGGAAATGTCCCTCACCATGATTTGCCTATATCGACAACCCACCGCTAAGGTGGATTTCTATGATCAGGTAAAACTCCTGCTGAATTCCTGTGACTCCAACAAAGAGCTAATTATTTTAGGAGACTTTAACATAAACTGGAATGACAAACAAAATAGAAAGAACTTAAAACGGATCACGGATAAACACAACATAATACAACTAATGGATCAACCGACTAGAATAACCAAAACCTCCAAGACTATGATACATTTATTATTTACAAACAAACCTGACTGAATAGTTAAAACCTACAACTTCCTGACTGGTGTTTCTGACCATAATCTTGTTCTTTTTACCAGGAAACTCACCAAAAAAAGGTTCATGGCCAAAGCTAAAACCCCTGCCTTCGGTTCTCGCTTCATCCCCAAAAACAGACCAATCAGCATCCTCCACTGTGTCTCTAAGGTAGCTGAGAAATGGGTGTCAAAACTAATCACCAAACATTTAGATAAAGGTTTCGCTCCACTCCACCCANAAGGGATCATATCTCTCATCTGAGTAGTTAGCCTTTCCATGGAAGCCAATTTGCATCGCAAATTGGGGGGCAGCAATGTTGGAAAGCCTGTGCTGACTGACAGTCAGCACAGGCTTTCCAACATTGCTGCCCCCCAATTTGCGATGCAAATTGGCTTCCATGGAAAGGCTAACTACTCAGATGAGAGATATGATCCCTTGTTGTCCTCGTCATGGATCTCTGGGAGGACAATAAGACGAACTATAGGCCGGGTGTAGGTTTTGTCCTGTATCTTCACTTCTGCTGTTCTGATGTGACCATCACGTCTGCTTTACTGCATTGTGTTGTGTAAAATGATATCTCTGATGGTGGATAGCATTACATTATGAACAAGTAAAGATTAGTGTCCATCAGCAACGTTTGTCAAGCAATGAGAGTCCAGGCAGAGCAGCTGGAGGAAAAACAAGATCGTATTTTCTACTTATATAATCCAGTTCAAAATCATACTTAAAGCCTTCTGTGGCTTTTATTAAACACCTCAAACTGCCCCATAACTGTGCATTCATGATCACAATGAACACAAAACATAGTCACAGTAGCAAAGACAATATTTTGAGGCTGTTATTTTTTTTTAAAATTAGGGCCGCACCCCAAAATGTTTCCACTTTAATCCTTTAGAGAATAGATATTAGTTTCTTGTCTCACAAACATCGCTTTTTAAACCGAATAAAATGTTGAAAGTTGACCTCAATCATCATATATTATAACACTATTTAATAGGAAAAAGCACTTCTATATGTATTTCAAAGGTATGAAATGGACTGACGGTTTGAACTGGAGAAATCAGTGATGTTAAACCGTGAGATGATTTTTTTTTTAAGGACATCCAATTTACTATTTAGTGTCATCATGAAACAGATATATTGTATTGTATATATTATATTAGTTTGTGGTTATTTATGTTAAACTGAACCTTGTGGTGTAAACGGTGTACACAGTACTTCAATTAAAAAAAATCTAGGAATGTCTTTCCCAGGTTGAGAAACACCATAGGTCAGACTTTTTTATTTCTCATTGACCCTGAAACACACCGACTTATATACACAGTTGGAAAGTGGAGATTTTCAACTTTCCAGGGATGTATTGTTGCTGTTCTCCAAATATGAAACAAAACTTCTCACATTGCATTTTGACCGTTACAGAGCCATGGTTCTGAGAAAAAAGCCTTCAATGTTCAATTTAAAACTTTGGAAATTTATTCAAATGAATCATCCAATCCAATCCACTTTATTTGTATAGCACATAATAAAAACAGAGGGTTTACCAAAGTGCTTCAAACCAAACATAACATTATAATAAAATATAATATTACAATAACAGCACACAAAAAGATAAAAGGATAAAAGGCACACATAATAATGAATACACGGCACATAAAGGCTATGGACAGACAATAAAAGCATACAAATCGATAAAACGTAACTCTTCCCTTTTTGGCACTTGCCCATATTAATCCATCACACAGAGGCACTCAAATACCCATCCACACCCATTCCCACACTCATACCGTAAACGCACGCCCAACAATATCAAACCTTAATCAAATGTAAATATTATTCTTGGTCATTTTTGAGTTCATAGTCTGTGTATTTCTAGGGATGCTCCGATCGATCGGCCGTCTATCGATATCGGCCGATATTCACTCTCTGCCAGACAGGGGGAGAGAGGAAAAGAGAGCGCTTCCGCTCATGTTATTATCCCAAGTTAATGTAAACTTGAATAATGTACTTCATTTGAATGTGATAATTATGTTGGTTTGTGGAAGCGCCAGTGAATGAGCCCCATTAACTGAGTTTAAATGGAAGGTCCCCATAGCCCCCACCCACTGGATTGGATCGGCGATCGGCCCCAAAATTGGCGATCGGAGCATCCCTAATTTCTAGGAAACAAACACACAGCACATATTGTAATTCTTCTGCCGTTAAGCTGCTCCCTTCGCCATCATACCTTTACAAACTTCAAAATTTATTTACCTTTTGAATTTGGCGACCATTACCCAATGTCTTGACATTTATCTAGAAATGAGCCTTTGCGACATGAGACTATTTTGAAAGAGCTTGTAACACATTGTCTGCCACGGTCTTTCTGTAAACACATATAATAATACAAATATAAAATGTCTATAAAATAATGGATGCAACGCCATTCTCACTGTATCAGTTTCTTTTCCTTTTCTGGCTCCTGTTCTGAATTTGTTCTTTGATATAGCTTAAGGATTTTCGTGTCATGTAGGCTTTTCCACAAATTTTTCTCCATGATATAGTCGTGGTTGGCGTAGAAAACAACATGTTTCTTGATCTTCTCATAGTAGTAGTTGGAGTATTTACTGTAGTCTTCAGTCATGAATCCATATGCACTCACCTGAGAATGACAAACAGAGAACAGGGACGATTATGAATAACAACAGGATCTGTTAAAGAGCAACTTCCAGGTTAAAGACACCTGTGAATAAATGTGTCGGAAAATGATGTATAGACTAGATTTTCAAAAAAATATACATAAATATACACTAGTGACATCTGGCGTCGTTTTTGTAAGAAATGTTTACTTCCGCATCAAAAAAGCCTCCCCACGTGACCTCCTGCGTGTGACGTAACAAAGGGGAAACAAGGGGGAGAGCGGCCGGTGTATCGTATTAATAAACATGGATCCCAATGCTAGTTTCGACACAGAAGAAGTTGAACATGTATATTCGAATGCATATGACGGACCACAACCTTATAATGAGTCTGTTAGGCGTCCAAGAGACCAGGAGCAGCCAAGGATTAGAAGAAATAACGGCCATCGGAGAGAAATTGAGCTGTGGTGTGAGGAGAACCAGTGGAGAACTGGGCAGCTATCTTGGTGAGTGATCGGTGTTAGCTACAGAATGTTAGCTAACGTCACATCACAACATTGTAAAGTTAGCTATCATATATCAGGCTATAACTAACGTAGCATTGATAATATAGTAACGTTACTGGCAGGACTGTTGATACTGATCCGTAACAGAAAGTAATGCGCAAGTATCAGCCGTATCTCGCGTTACCTAATGCAAATCCACACTACGTTGCGGTGCTGTACCGGAGGGGAGAGAGAGAGCAGGGAAGGAGGGAGGGGGGGGGAGAGAGATGTAATACGGTTTCCCGATAAACGAACCCAGGACCGAAAGCTAGCTAGCTTTCTTTTCCTGTTAGGGAAATAGTGGACTCGATGTCCTGATGGGCTGGTATTTGTGCAACCTGCACCATGATTACAAATGTTGAAATACAATGTAAAACTACCGAAAAATACCAGCTCACTAAAACACAACCGCTCAACACNCCTCCCTCTGCTGGCCCGTGCAAGTGTTTACCTGGGAAACGAGAGAACAGAGAAAACCTCTTTACTGAAAGGCGTCGTGGAGGGGGAGACGCCACTGATGGGGAGAGAGGAGGGGTGACGGCTGAGAGAGAAGGAAGAGGAGGAGGACAGGAAGAAAGAGGAAGACAGAGGAGCTGGTTTATTGGTTTGGTGTATATCACATATGCCGCTCTCTGTATTCTTTCACGTTAGTGGTTTACTCTTTTTACTTACAAGATATTTTCTAGGTTTTAGTCTTCTTCAACCAAGGAGGATAAACTGAGACAAAGAACTTTCCAGCACCTCTGCGCCCGCCTAGTCTGTATCAAAACTATCCTGAATTCAAATGTAATTATTGTCCTTATCTTTAAAAATAGATCCTAATTTCTAATACTATGAAAACATATTTTAAAGACCTAATTTTGCGAGATATATGAATTAGATCAATTTAAATATAAAGAAAATAAACCAAGTCGAAACCCGAGATTAAAAAAAGTCAGCATTTCTAAAATCCAGCTTGAAAACGTGGCATTTTTCTCCTAATAATTTAATAAATAAAAAGGGAAAAGTAACCAAGTGAATAATTCGTTAATATTGATTTAGATTTAAATGGAGAATTTATTCATTAACGTTTTTAGCTTTTATGTTTATTTTCTTTGAATTTAAATCTAATTCCTTATACCTCGGCCTATAATGCCAACACAACTAAGTTAACAACTGTGTAAGGAATATTTTACCTAAAATAGATCCTAAATCTCAGTTCTTTCCAGTAAAATGCAAACATGTGTAACATTTATATTTACACAACTATACACGGAACATTTTAGGATGAGAAATGGTCAAGTGTTTGACATGCTGCACACACACTGACTGGCATCGTGTGCACATGAAGTACAGACAGCAGTTTATCCAGCAGACAGAAACAGACCAACAGGAAGGGAAACAGAAGAAGAAGAGGAGCAGAACATTTGATCAGCAATAACGTCGCTGAACCACTAGGAGTCACCAGTGACACACGGAGAGAGCCAGAGTCACCTCAGGGCAGGGAGGTAGTTTATGGGATACCAGCCTGCTGCACTGTTGATAGGCTAACATCATCCACATCCACCTCTAAAGCCAACAACCTGCATCCAGTCTGCGTCTGCATCATTCTGTCATTTCAGCTATCCTCATCACATGTCTTACTTTGACTGAAATCTGACATACTGTACAGGACTTTCACAGAGATTCCTGCTCTGAAGCAGAAAGTCTAATACACTTTTTTTGAAACACTTAATAATAAAACAGTGCAAAGTTGTAAATGAATGCTGTATTGACAGTGGCAGATGTTCATTTCTAAGTGTGAAAACGTTGAAGGGGATTCTTTTTTTCTTCTTACACTTTAGAAACAAACAAAAATGTCCTTTAAAATTGAAAGAGGTGTATCTATATTATTAAATATAATCTTGCTGGATTATATTGAATTCTCTTTACAGTACATAAAGCCACACATCTGCCTTTTTAGTTATCATACAGGTTCTTCAACTCCAATTTCAAAGACGTCTGCAAAGTAAAGCTCATGGTTGTTTCCTCAGTTTACTTCCTAACCTATTTCTTAATGAACCCGATTACCATTTAGATCCAACTAAATTAAATCAACTCAAGGTAACCTACAACGTTACAGTGAGCTGAGGAAGGCAACAGAATAAATGCAGACCTCTAAAAAAATATGAGTTCAGGTTCATGTTTAACGAATGGGCGTTTCCTGTTTGGTCCTTCACAAGCTCTCATTAATAAATTAAAAGGATACAAATATCTACTCTAGTCTCTGTGATCGATTTCTCAGGCGTCACCTGCCGGCTCGGAAGAGAGGAGACGCACTCTCTCTGAACTTAAAGGGTTTCCCTATTTGGATTAAGCTTATTGACTTTTCCACTTCTCTCTTCAAACACACCGCATCATTAGCAAGTCGCTGACACAGCACTTTGTGAAGGAGCTTCAGCAAGTCGAGGAGAACAGAGAGACATAAGGCTCAGATTACTAAGAACAATAACAGTTGTTATTTCAGTCTTTATGTGAACGGACAGCTGCCACCAATGCAGGACTTTGACTTGTAACAGAGTATTTATAGTGTGGTATTAATACTTTCTCCTGTAGTAAAGAATCTGAAAACTTCCTCCACCTCCTGTGTGTAGTTATAAATCAAGTCACTACAACATCCAAAATGTCTTGTTATAATGTGGAAATCACCTCATTAGGCAATATAAAAAACTTCCAATCATAATGGGACACTGAACTGACAATACTTCACATTACACCTATCTGGGCGGATAGAGGACACCTACATCTAGAAGAGCTTCAGCAGGAGTTGTTTTACTCTGCAATATGGGCCTCGAACAATATGCCTCGCTGACACTGGGGGCTCGGATAATATTGATGTATATATGAAGTTTTTGTATTCCTTGTTCTTCTGTACCCCATGTTGCTTTCTGTACTGTATGTCTATTTGAGATGTGTTGAATCCATGTGTCTATGCGTAACGGCTGTGAAAACAAACATTTCTCTAGTTCAATAAAACTACATCTAAAAATGTATCATTTGTCATGTTGCAGCAAAAGCATGCTGTACAGTGCCTATTCAATCATCTTGCGTGCACAGGTGTGTACATTGTGTCTAATGTGCTGTCTCACCAAGTGACGCTGAGCTCAGAGCCATGACTCCGTAGTAAGAGAACGGGCCGGTTTCAAACTTCATGTTTTCGTGTCCGGCTTCCACCTCCACTCGCCCCTGAAACACATGTCACATTTTGATTAATAAGCACAGTATATGACAGTGTGTCTGTGTCTGTGTGTGTGTGTGTGTGTGTGTGTGTGTGTGTGTGTGTGTGTGTGTGTGTGTGTGTGTGTGTGTGTGTGTGTGTGAGAATCAGTCAGGATGCTCCATTTGTGCAAGCAGAGACATTAAGGTCCTATAAATATTACATCATGCCAGGTGATGCTGTGGACCAGTGTCTCTTTACCTCACGCACACACACACACACACACGCACATACACAGGTGAATGGTGAAACAGGAGCAGCTGTGCTCAGGTTGCATGCTGTGTGTCTGCAGTCACTTCATCCACACCTCAGGTGTCGACAACAAAGCCTCCACGTATTCAAACACACACTTTCAAACACACACTTTCAAACACAACAGCAACACACAAAGAGCATGCAAGTTCAAATGAATGATAACACTGAGCAAAAATACATTTTATATTTACATAAATATTTTGTATTTATCTTCTTGTAAAACTGAGCAACTGTTGACAAATCTAAATTCCCTCCTGGGGATAAATAAAGTATTTCTGATTCTAATTCTGTATTATAGACAAGATGAGAGCCTTTAAGTACAGATAAAGTCCAAAATATGAATAACTACTCTGGGAGTCGGACATTGAAACTATGAATCAAGCTTGGGTTGGGGGTTTATCACAAATAAACAATTATATAATAAATGCAAGAACCAACAATCTGAATAACTAAATGTAGCAAATAAATGCAGTGACTTGCCTCTAAAATAAATGAGGAATAGTTTAATTATAAAGTTGCATAACAATGAAATACACAAGTAAAGTACAATACCTTGAAATTGTACTTAAAGAACAACTTGCAGGTTTTTTTTTTCTACATTTATGCTTAAACTTGCTTGAAAATTACAATTAAAAAAGTGAATGCAGGATTTGATATGTTTTACGAGACATAAGGGCAGGAATTCAGAGGGAAAGGAGCACTTTT